GCAACAGCTCCGACGGCCCGTAAGGCCCCGCAGGGAGCCGGGAGCTGGGGGTCCCGCTGCAGCCCCGGCAGCCCGGTGCTCCATGAATCCCTTTGCTCTCCCTGGCACAGGTTCATTTTCCCCACAACCCGGCTGGGCGCCGAGAGCCAGTTCAGTGACTTCCTGGATGGGCTGGGGCCGGGCCAGCTGGTGGGACGGCAGACACTGGCCACGCCAACCATGGGTGAGCTGAGGGGTCCCAAGTCCAGCCCCATGGAGCTGGGAATACATGAGGATGCTCCAGTGAGAGGGAGCAAAGTGGCCGGTGGGATGCGGCCATTGGGAAGGCTGCTGAGTGCATCTTGTCCCTCCTCCTAGGTGATGTCCACGTTGGCATGGCTGACCGCAACGGGCAGCTGGAGGTGGAGGTGATCCAGGCGAGGGGACTTATCCCAAAGATGGGCTCCAAGTCCATCCCCGGTAGGTGGCTGCGAAGGGAGTCAGTGCAGGATGGAGGGGGAGTGATGGGGACGGGAACCACGCTGGGACCACATAGGAGCCTGCTCCCAGTTGCTGTTTCTCACCCATTTCCCAACGCAGCCACCTACGTGAAGGTTTACCTGTTGGAGAACGGCATCTGCCTGGCCAAGAAGAAGACCAAGGTGGTGAAGAAGACCTGTGACCCCTCATACCAGCAGCCTCTGCTCTTCGAGGAGAGCCCCCAGGGCAAAGTCCTGCAGGTGATGAACTCCCCGCACAGCTACCTGGGGACAGGGAGGGATTATGGGGGCAAGGGCAAGGGCACAGGAACCTGGTGTCCTCATTGCTGTCCTGCAACCTCCCTGCTGCCATCACGGCAGGTCCTTTCTGCTTGGACATGCTGTGTTTGCCAAGTTTTCCTCAAAATTCCCAGCGGGTGAGCAAGGCAGCACCCCCAAAGCCTTCTCTGCCCCACAGGTGATCGTCTGGGGAGATTACGGGCGCATGGACCACAAGTGCTTCATGGGGATGGCGCAGATCATCCTGGAGGAGCTGGATCTCTCCAACGCGGTCACGGGCTGGTACAAACTCTTCCCCACCTCCTCGCTGGCCGACTCCAGCATCGGGCCCCTGACACGCCGTCTCTCCCAGTCCTCCCTGGAGAGCTCCACCAGCCCCTCCTGCCCTTAGGGGCCGGTTGGTGGGAGAGGCTGGGAGGGGAAAGGAGCCCCCTGACCCACCAGAACTGTTCGTGGATGGCTGTAAATATCCTGTTCCTTCCCCTCCCTTCTTTCTTTCTTTCTTTTCCACCCTCCCCCCCCTGCTCTCCACATGCTCCTCCCCGAACACATCCCGGGATGTCGGAGAGGGATGAGGGCCGAATGGTTTGAGGCAGGGGAAAGAAGCAGCAACCCCCCCATGAGGCAGACCAAGGGCTGCGACTGCCGCCCGATCCCAAGACTGTTACTGCACCTCGTCCCGTTGGACAGGATTCAAAGCGACGTGGTTCTCTCCTGCCCACCCAGCGGGAGCATCTCGGGCCGCTCCATCCAGCACCGCTGGAGCAGCGCGGTGACGGGGGTTCTTTTCCTTGGATTCCATTCCCTGCCTTGGAGGCAAAGCTCTTCAAAGAGGAAAAGAACCACTTGGAAAGAAATCCAACTCAGCACTACTTTTGTTTTCCAAGGAATGTAGCATCTTCTATTATGTAGCTTGCCACGTGCTGACACACACTCACTTCTCTGCAATATCCAAGAGGCTCCGGACTGACCGGAAACATCTGCCAGTCACTTCCCATTTGTTCGTTTTCCAACATGAATCCTGCAGCACAAACAAGCACTTCTGTGGCCAATTTGCTTTACTTCTAATTGTTTGGTTCCTGGTAGCATGTAGCCTGTGACCAGTGACATTGCCAAAGCAAGAGAGAAGAGAAGGTGCATTCACCTCACCTGAGCATACGCTGGTTTTCTCCTCGTGTTTCACCACTGACCATGGTCTTGTATGACCAAAGCAAGACCTAAACTATAAACTCTGTGATGCCTCACGTGAAAATTCGAGTCAGGAGAAGGTGACCCAACGGAGCAGGAGTTCTGTGATGATGGTTGATTGTCTGCCTCCCAGCCCCTTCCTCCTGCGAGGTCTGGAATGCTGGCGTTGGGTCCAGGATGTTCTCCTTGGCTCTGGGATGCTCCTCTTGGGTCCAGGACGCCCTCCTCAACACTTGAATTCCAAGTAGGAGCCGAGGGTTTGCCAGACCCTGGGGCAGGCCACCCCTTTCTCTAACTCTCAACTTGTTGGTACGCTACAGGGGAACATCTCAACAGCATCTTCTGCTGATCTGGAATTAGGGTGACTGAGAGGTTACGAACAAAGGACTAGATGCTTGGAACCCGTGATCAGGATGAGTGTTTGGGGTTCTTTCTGTTTGTATGTTTTGTTTGTTTGTTTCTAAGCAGCATTTTGGTTCCCTCCGAGGGACCGGTTCTTGTAGCAAAACCGAGAATTCCGGAAGCTTTTTCTGAAGGTGCCTAATGAAATTTGCTGAAAATACTCAGGGGAGACACCACTAAAAACTCTGGTTTCTTCATAAGATCCCTTAACGCAAGGACTGGCCTGAAGGATCAGTTTCCAAAAGAGAAAAAAAAACCCAACACACCAAAAGAGGAGCAGTCCTGAGACTGGAAGAGGACAAAAGGTTAACGGGGAATTTCTGCCAACCCGCTGGCTCTGACCTTCAGCCTTTACCACGACTCAACCCTCAGCACAGCTGGGATTTTTTACGGTTCTTTTTTGGCAAAGCAGAGGGTTTCCCAATGCACAGAGCACAACAAGCCCAACCCGCGGTTCTCCTGGTGACACCAGGGCCCATGAACCAGCTCGAACCTTTTGCCACAACAGAACAAAACCAACCCTGAAGGGAAAGACTGTTGTGATGGAGGTGATGGAGCTGTCCCCTCTGCAAACCCGGCCTGGGGTCGGCAGAACACCACTGCTTGGTGGCTGCTTTACCCAACCCCACCGCAGAGTCAAGCTGCCATCACGGACTTCGGATCTTTACCAGTTCAAAATCACTGCAGACCTCTAAGGAGAGAGAGGGCTGGATGCTGCTGATGGGGGATGGAGAGGGGTCGGCTTCAGGCTCCCAGCGGATTCAATCCTCATCTACGAGAGCAGAAAGCGCTCGGAGCAGGACACCGGATGGCTGAGCTCCGAGGTGCGGGACCACGGGATGCACCAACAGCCTCAAGTGGTTTGAGGAAGCAAACGCGGCGCCCTGGCGACTGCAGCGGGAACAAACAAAGGATTGAACATGACGTTCCTGCCAGAGCACGAAGCAGCTACATGAGGTCAACAGTGCCTGGAGGAGGCTAAACCCTCTCTGCCCCGGCGTGCTGGGTTTCGAATATACGCGAGGGAAGATATCCTAAGAGGCAAAGCTTTCTGCTCCTTCAAGCTAACGTTACTTGCTTTTGCTTTACCAACTCTATTTCAGTGGGAAAACCTGCCTGTGGCAGGACAATAACCATGTCCTGGGGAAGTGGAAAGGCAGCACGGGCAGAGCAGGGAGCACTGCGGGTGCTTTCTGCTCACTGGTGTGGATGCCGCATCCCGCCCCCTTCCCCATCCATTTGGAGATCTCTGCTCGTGACCATCTCCAGCGAGCCGCCGGACCGCCCCCTTCCCCTTCCATTTGGAGCTCTCTGCCTGTGACCCTCTCCAGCGAGCCGCAGAGCCTTCGTGCTCCCGTCTCAGCAAGCAACATAGAATCACGGAGTGGTTTGTGCTGGAAGGGACCTTAAAGGTCATCCAGTTCCAACGCCTGCCTCGGGCAGGGACACCTTCCACTAGAGCAGGTTGCTCAATACATAATGCTTTTCTGGAGGCAGAGAACAGAGACAGATGAAGAGCATCAGGAACAGCAGAACGGGAGGTGCCTGAGGTCCAGCAAAAGGCTCGCTGGTTCTGTAGAAGCTGGAAAAAACCTGCCCTTGCTGGAACAGGGAAGATCCATGGGAAAGAACATTCTGGAAAATACACCAGGGAACAGGGAAACTCAAATACTTTGGCTTATGTTTTACCCGGGGCACCCTGAGGACGCACTGAAGGATGACAGCGCAGCTCCATCAGAACAACCCGGGTCCTGGGTCTTTTCCAGTGGTGTGTCCTTGCTTGCTGCAACGCGATGGGTTTGTGGGAACAACTCCTGCTCATGGAGAGACTGCTGAGGTGGAGCCACCGTCCCAGCGGCCTCACATGGTTGTCACTTACTCACTAGGCTGAAGTCTGTCAAGACCTTTACTTCTTCACTTCCAGCACCGTGCTTCCGGTCCCCCGGGAGCTGGAACTCACTTTGCTGGGGAAGCACCTTCCACTTGTGTGGAAAAACTGAAGCTGGAGAAGAGCTGGGAGCGAGCCACGTTCACGTCCCCGCATCAGCTCCTCCTCTTCCCTGGTCCCTGAGAGCACGTGCCACATGTTCTCCCTCCCCGAACAAGCCCAGACACGCAGCCGCTTTCTACATGGACACAGCAGAAACCCCGCAAGCTGCTGGACTCCAGGTGGTTTTGGGGGGGGATGTTTTATTGCAAAGGGCATTATCTTAATGGTCTCTATGATTCGCAGAAGGCGGCTGCGCTGCCTTAGATTATTTCTTCTCTTTTCTCCATCATGAAAGGAAATTCAAACCATTTGACTTTCCAGACATTTCCCCTTAGAAGAGTAATTCAGATTAAACAGAATCAGCTTTGCAGCCTGTTTTATACCCAGCACCAAGTGAGGAGCAAGCAGCACTCACCTGAGACAAGACCTTACCATAGCGCAGCTGACAGGAGATGCCGGTGTCAGAATCAAGGCACCCAGCCTGAGTAACAAGGATGGATTTTGCCAATACTGCCTTGAAGTGATACTTAAACATCCCTTGAATGCTAGAAACAAAAAAATCACAGCCACACAGCAAAGCACAGAGAGCACGACGTGATTTCATGCCCAGGCGTGACTTATTCCTGGGTTTTCTATGAGCCTGGAATGGGCTTTATTTGCCAAAGTTGAGTGAAAATTTTCTAGGACATCAGATGGTGGGCTCAGAAATTAGTTCCTCTTTCATCAATGTCATAGCACGTCGAAAGCACAGGGAGAGGATGCTTAAGACATAGTTTTCCTGAAATCCAGCGAGATCTGAACCAATTCTTGGCCAGCAATCAGAAAACCAACCTGGCTTTGGAAAATGCCACAGAGCAACCGCCACAGTGGGAAGCGTTCCCACCACGGCCACCTCCAGCTCTCAAAACCTGGTCTCCAGGAGCAGTTAGAGATGTAGCTCCTGATTGCAAATATGAGACCAGAAATTCCCACAGGCATGGATCAGGATTCCCTTCGCTGGCAGGGAATCACTGCGCAGCATCTTACACAACTGCTCCTGCAGCGATGAGTCTTGGGAAGCCCAGCCTGTGTCTGCACGTGTTTGTGCGCTTTGCTGCCCATGAGAGGAGTTAACACAGTGAAACACCTTCACTTGTTCAGGTGGGCTTGCAAATACTCGGTGGCAGCAGTGACTGGAGTTTAAGGGTGTTTCCTGAAACAAGGCCATTTATAAAACAGCACCAGTGACGAGTTATCAGGCATAAAGATTCCACCTTCTAGTTTCTTCCAGTTGACTCAGACACTTCTTCCCAGCTTGACATGAAACGCTTGGACAACGCATGTCCATAAACCTCCTTGAAAGAGTGCATTTGGTTACTGATTTGGAAAACCACTGCATTTTAAAGGTCCAGGAACAGTTTTCAGGCATAGTGCTCATCAATGACTGAATTCAAAGTCTAGATGTGCTTTGCATCACAGACAGAAAAAGATATTAAGAGCTCTCCTTGCTTTCCTTTGGGTTCTCGTGCCTCCAGACAGAGCTATAAAATTACCTTTGGTAAGAGCAAGGTCTGCATCCCATGATGTGCCAAAGGCATGATGGCCCATTCCAAAGTTTCTTCAGCAAAGCTGTTTCAACTGGAAGTCTTCCTCCTACTTCATGTTCACCAGAAAACACCCCAACCCTTGACTGGTTGTTAGAGGTGCAAGAGTTATGGTTATGAGCTAAAAAGAGGGTTGAAAGGCTGTAGAAGAGACTTGCTGGGGGGGGAAAGAAGTGCCTGCAATGAGCATGGTTGGAATTGGTGGGGTGATGATGTGCTAGAACAAGC